ATGCTATTAGAATACTCTTTTTGGGTTGTATATATATTCCACGTACGTCTATGTTAATTAGGATTTCACTTCAGTTTATATTTCGATGATTAGTTTAAATGTACTTATTAGACTTAATATTGAAGTAACCGTGACTATGAAAACTTATTGCAGTTGAGGTTAAGAGGGAAGAGAGTCATCTTTTGAGCATTAAATATTCAACCATGGTATGGAGTGAAGACAACCGGTATGCAAAGGCAACCCAGACAACACAAAAATATAGTTGTCACGTAAAGGCGACTCACACAACATAAGTTTTAAGATAACGTTAAAAGACAACTCAGGCAACAGAAAATACGGTTGTCACTTAATGGGATGGTGAATCACAAAGCACGACTTTTAAGAAAACGTTACTATAGGCCCTGTTTGGTAAATGGCGGTTAGCTGTTAGCTGATTGAGTTAATTAGATGGTATAACTAGTTGATAATATAAGCTGATTGTAGAAAAGTGTTTGATAAATTAGCTGTTAGCTGATAGAGTCATAACTTAAAATGTATAAATTTGGAGATGACAGACAATTTTATGTAATTTTAAAATCTTGGACATTTTTTTTTTTGTAAAGTAGTTATGCCATTGCCCCTTTTTTTGGCACAAGCGTCAAATAGACTCATCTACTATTGCAAAGTACTCAATTCCCACCACGAACTAAATTAAGTGTCAAATAGGCCCATCTATCAGCTAAATTTGTTTGATGGGCGTTTTTTACAGGTTGCTAGCAGGGTGGCTATGAAATTATTAAAAATAAATAAATAAATAGAATAAAAAACTAAAAAAAAAAAAATAAAAAAAATATCAGCCACCGGCTGTCAACAACGAGGTCCAGATCTGGACCTCAAACGGCCTGGAACGAGGGCGGCGGCCATGGCCATATAGTGTATATATATATAATCATATTAAAACTTCAAAAGACAATCAATCAATCAATCACTATGTATTACATTAAATATTATTTTTATAGTTAAAATAATTTTTTTTTTTTTTACGTAATATGGTAAACAAGTTTAAATTTCAAATTTAAGTTTATTAACATTCATATATAAAATACGAACTTACTTCAAAATGACAAGAACTTGTAATATTGGTAAATGATGAGACTTTAGGTTTAGAATTGTTTGTTTTGTGCTAATTATTTTTGCATTTGGTTTATTTTACTTGTCCTTTAAGACATAAAATTGATAGCCATAGTTCTAGACTCTCTTTAGCATGGTGTACTTCTGGGTAGATAGGCATTTGGAAATGGTAGTTATGGTTTGTACTAACTTTGGAATGAAACTAATGACCTTACATGCTAAGTTAAGCCAACTTTCCAAAAATATTTTCTAAGATTTTGTCATTGACCGAGAAGTGACGCGTACTTCTCAGTTCGAAGAAGTGCCAGAGCATAGCGATTGATTGCAAAAATAATAATTTTATTTTCAAAAGGCATAGTGACCGAGAAGTGAAGAGTACATTTTGGGTGTCTAAACTGATAAAAATAGTAATGTTATTTTCAATGGTAAAAATAATATTTAATATGATACATAGTGATTGCTTGTCTATTGAAGTTTTAGTGTGTGTGTGTGAGAACATAAAATGTATATGAGTATTATAGTTTTGAAATTTACAGAACTTATTGTAAAACATGATAGGATTAGAGGAAAAGTTTGTATGTTTAGAAAAATGGAAATAAACAAAAATGAAATAAATAAATGAGTTTTTCTCAAAATGATCCCTCGACTATTCCCAAAATGGTCTCTTGACTATTTTTCAGAGTATATTAGGCATATAATAGGTAAATGGACAAAAATGCCCTTCATTTTACACTCAATAGACGAAATTTCTAACCGAGGACCAATTTGGTGGAGTTTTTAAAAGTGAAGGGACCACATTGGGTGCAATTAAAAGTCGAAATGCAAAATTGAGAATGAGCAATAGTCGATGGACCATTTTGGGAAAAAAACTCTCTCTCTCTCTCTCTCTCTCTCTCTATATATATATATATATATATATATATATATATATATATATATATATATATATATATATATATATATATATATATATATATATATATAGGGACGCACTCAGGTGCGTATAAGTGCCTAGGAAGGAAATGCGAACGAATCAGCGCACGACACGTGTCCAGATCTAATAACTTAAAAAAAATGCGGTGGCATTTTCGTAAATAATTGAACATCGAAGTGCAAGTAAAATCTCTTATAAGTGCACCTATTTTCACCTATAAGTGCATGTAATTTTGCCTTGTTAGCATTCACTTTCCGCAACCATTCATGCACCTGGGTGTGCTTATAACTATATGTGCAACTATTTATAACTATATGTGCAACTACTTATAACTATAGGTGCAACTACTTTCACCTATAAGTGCATGTAATTTTGCCTTGTTAACATTCATTGATCTGAGTTCAGCGGGTAGTAATACTCCTGAAAACCACTCGCAAACATTCATATACCTAGATGCAACTACTTATACCTATGTGTGCAACTACTTAGAACTATAGATGCAACTACTTAGAACTATAAGTGCAACTAAGTATTGATGCTCAGTGTAAATTTTTACTTGCACCTATAATACATTTTACATGCACTTGTAATACATTTTACTTGCACTTCGATGTTCAATTATTTACGAAAATGCCACCGCGTTTTTTTTAAAAAATCAGTGTTTCACATCCATTAGATCTGGACACGTGGACGAACAGAATCCATTCCTATTTCGCGCCTGGGCGAGCTGTTCGCACCCGAGTGCAAATCTATATATATATATATATATATATATATATATATATATATATATATATATATATATATATATATATATATATATGATGGATTATATGAACCCGGGGTCCGGATTATACAACCTGAATATATGTTTGAATGTGACGAATGAATAATAAAACGGTACATATTGTATTAATTGGATATAAAATGCTATTAGGACACCGGGCCTCGCTCCGGTTCCGTGATTTTTGAAAGTTACTGGCTCTATTACATTGTAGTATCTATTCATATACTTTCTCAACCTACTGAAACACAAAGAACTAATAACGCCTCCACCGAGGCTCAAACTCATAATAATCTTCCAAATGGAAGTCCAACCCGAGTACCATTAGACAACATAGCCCTGGTTATTCCATCAATATATATATATATATATATATATATATATATATATATATATATATATATAACTTTATTACTGTAATTTAATTTCTTCTTAGATTGTATGAATTTAACTTTTTTAGTTTAATTTTACAAATTACTTACATTTTATTTTTTAGCATTGATTAATGATCAACATTATTATCATCAGTTTAAAAGAACCAACCAGCAGTTTTGTTGAGAATACATATTAAGATTTAATTTGTTTCAGATTTCTGATCATTTCATCATCAACGCTAGCTAAATACCACGTCCAACCTATACTTGGACTTCATCGTTCCCATACGATAGCGCACGAAGCGTGCACGATCAACTTCTAATCCATGGATCCGCCTGAATGGGGCTCTGGCTATCATCTCCGGTTGCATCTGCTGCACCTGAAAATACACCATGCGGCCAGCAAGAAACATCAGATGGATCGAAGGAGTTTAGTAAGGGTGGGCGTAATTTGAATTATTCGAATTACCACCCGAAACCCGAACTGAATTTTAAGTTTAGAAGGAAGGGTGTTGGGGAAGCTGGCAGCCATGGTGAAGAGAGCAGCTGTAGCTGATGCCGAGGAATTAAAGAGAAGAAGATATATAGAAGAATGGAAAAAGTGAAATATAGTCAAAGTTCATGATATAGTATAGCAAAAAAATAAATAAATAAATAAATAAATAAAGATTGACAATTTTAAAATTTCAAAATACAAAAAATGAAATGAATACGGAAAATGAAATTAAAGTGATTTTTAGTCAGCATTACATGACAACTGTATTTTGTACTGTTTGAGTAATTAAAGTTTATTGTAACGTTTTCATAAAAGTCGTGCTTAGTAAGACATTATTACGTGACGACGATCGTATTTTGTGTTGCATGAGTTGTCTTTTAACGTTATCTTAAAACTTGTTTTGTGAGAGTTGTCTTTACATCATTCAAATCTTGCTATATTAGTAAAACCTTAGCTTGTTGCTAACATCACTACAAGAAAAATGCACATAGACAACAGTTAATAACCGTTGTCGTAGGGGTAAAATTTCTGTTGTTGAAGCTGGTGTTGTTGTAAGTCTCGCGCATAGACAATGGTTTTTAACCGTTGTCTTTTCTAGAAACAACAACGGTTTTTTAACCGTTGTCTATTAAGTGTTGTTGAAGCTGGTATTGTTGTAAGTCACGCACATAGACAACGGTTTTTTAACTGTTGTCTATTAAGTGTTGTTGAAACCGATGTTGTTAAAAGTCACGCACATAGACAACGATTTTTAACTGTTCTCTTTTCTATAAATGACAACGGTTTTTTAACCGTTGTCTATTAAGTGGTGTTGTTGAAACCGATGTTGTTAAAAGTCACGAACATAGACAACGGTTTAAGAACCGTTGTCTATTGAGTGTTGTTGAAACCGGTGTTGTTAAAAGTCACATACATAAACAACGGTTTTAAACCGTTGTCGTTTCTTTCAAAGACAACAGTTTTTGACCCGTTGTCTATTCAATGTTGTTGAAACCGATGTTGTTAAAAGTGATGCACATAGAAAACAGTTTTTAACTGTTGTCTAATTGTCTATTGTGTGTTGTTAAAATCGCTGTTGTTAAAAATCACGCCCATAAACTGTTGTCTTTTGTATAAAAGACAACAGTTTTAAACTGTTGTCTATTGTAAAATAGACAACGGTTTTTAACCATTGTCTCAACGGTTTTTAACCTGCTTAAATTTTAATCATATAAAAAAATCAATTTATCCATTCACCATGGACAAGTGTAGTTACATAATTTTGCACAAGCTAAGGTTCAAAATAACAAGTCTAAATAGTTCCATGACCAATTCTAATTGAATCATATATCATCTAAGTCATAATACTACAAAAAACAATTCCACGAATCAAGTCTAAACAATGTATGTTGTTACAAAAAACCAGAATAGCAGAATATCCAATGTCTAAACATATGAGCAAGAATTAAATGTAGTGCAGCTGAATGACTAATTGCAATATACTCTATCAATTACAAGAGGGATCTGATGAAGTTGCAAAGGTCCACAAAATCATTCATAGTGTCCAGAACAGAAAACACTCATCCTATGTTGGCAAATGATAGGAAATTGTAGCATCTGAAATGCAAAGAGAAATAATTAAGACATGTAAGATATGCTAATTACCGGATCACCAATTTCCATAGATCTATGTGACAGAAAAGCTGACACATCATACCTAGAAAGTAAGGACATTGCATCAGTAAATAAGAACCATACTTGATAAACCACCAAGTCACATACAAAACTAAAATAAAAATCTAAGAGTTGATTATTAAAAACACTCACCATGCACCATCCCTAGCAAATTTTGCTTCAAACTCCATCTGGGAGCTATCTGAACCATTCTTACCTGCACTTACTGATGATAAAATGCAAAATTTTGTAAAGAGTTGAAAGAATTACTATAGAAGATAAAATAAGAGGAAGACAAATATAATCATGTAAAAATAAGAATTACAATCATTAAAAATAATCATGTAATATGTCATTGATGTCAATTGTACTATTACAATATTTAAAACAAAGTTTGCTAAAAAAAATCTACCTGAAGGGGCAGCAATGGGTTGAGGTCCTTGAGGAGTTTGGATCATTGGTCTCACTGTGACTTAATTACATATAGAATACAATAAGACATAGTAATAAAATGACATGGTTAATGATTAAATGAAGGAGATATGAATTAGCACTAAAAATAATGGAATTGAAGTCAGAGGTTTCACCTGAAAGAGGAGGAGGACCAGGTTGGGGGACTTGGGGAACTGTTCTTACAATAGTTGGTTCACTTTGATGTGTGACCGGAGCAGGCACTTTACTGGGAGTTTTAGCTGCTTTTGCTCGAAGGCAATTAAAATCCCAATTTTTTTTTTTTTATAATTCCTGTACCTATTACAGCTTAAAATCCATATCAACATTATTCCACAATACAATTTATCCATCAACACACTTTAAAACAATACAAATTACTACGGTACTTGTAAAAAACAATAAATGAAATACATATGAGGTCTTTGTTGCAAATGAAATGAGCACAGAATCCTTATCATTTCCTGCTATCTGTTTAAATTAAACACCAATTATAACAAAAAATATGGCAGCAGAGTCAATAAAAGATTTGTGGCAAGGAGCTTCTCTCACTCGAAAAACAAAACTCTTAAATGTACACAACAACTAAGTAAAGATGATATAAGGATACGTTCTGTCCCAGATTCCTTTCTGAATTTCTCTGCTGCTTCCACATAACCCTCAGTGACTAGGAAGTTCATCACTAGTTTATTCATGTCCTCTTTTCTAATCCTAACATTGTTCAGCTTCTTCTCTCACTCTTATATTGTGATTACTTTCTTAGACATTGCCTATAACTAACAAGTAATAGTTTATATAAATTCAAACAAAAATGCATAGATGCAAGTATGCAACATTATAACCCAGAAGTCTCTTCCACCCCTGGTGTAAGAAAAAGAACAGTCTAAAATTAACATTAGTATTTCAATATTGCAACCTGAAAGTACTAAATAAAACAGTAAAATGATGAATACCACTTCTTGTCTCCCCATTTCGAAATGTGTATGCTCCATACCCTTGTTTGCGCCCCTTGTGCCATGACCCTTTGTAACAGTGCCCATTGGCAAAGTGATACACACCAAAACCATGGACTTTATCCCCAAAATACTCCCCTGCATATCTACCTCCATTCCTGCAATGCAATCAAGAAACCTTGCTTCTTAAGAATGAGAAGAATAGTACCTTTGTACTCCATCCCCCACTTGAGTTTCACCATGACAGGCTTTCCAGTCAAATTGTTCAAAAATGGCTTGGGATTAATTGATACAGTCTAGAACAAGAATGTAAAAAAAAATAAAAAAAAAAATCAGAATCAGTCTTCACTTCAGTCTGATTTCAATTTGGGAATATTGAAAACTTCTTAGACAGAGTAAGAGAACTCAAGCTTATTTTATTTATAAGCAGATACATATACTTTCATCTAATGGTACACAAATGTGTAGAATGGCACAATAGAAATTAGGAGGTAATAGACAAATATAACAAAAATAATCAGAAATTAAAATAATGTAACCATCACAGATAAAAAATTTGAAATGTAACAATATAATTAGTCAAATATATTTACAATTAAATACCTGTTTTGTTATATGTAGTGCAAATTGGCTTTCACTGTATCTCCTTAGAAAGTTGAGAAAATAAGCTAAAGAATTCCCTTAAGGACTTCAAGCAGATATATTTCAAACTTACAAACTACAATTATTCAATCATTACCTCATAGACCTTCAGAATGAATTGCAGAGTGAAGTGAGAGTATGAGGGCTTTAGTAAAACTAGAAAAATGAAGAAAGTAATGACCAAAATGACTATAACAATAATGATTACAATATAAGAACAGTAATATTTGACCTTAGGATATCATCTCCAATTTCCAAAGTAATACCAATGTTTCTTCTTCTAAATCTCCGTACTTCTGACATTGATGCACCTTCTGACCTGTGTAAATCAGAAAAAAGATAAAGCTCAGCAATGAAAAGTGTAATAGTAACAATTGTTCTAAAGTTTAAACAAGCACATAGGAGAGATGGTGTTTCGTAGGTTGAGCTATGGAGTCTATACTTGATACTAGTTGAGAAATAAAATCCTACACCCAACAGTTAATAAATTTTGGTAGAACTGATAGCATTAAAACTAGTAAAGCTAATTTGACTTAGAATCGCATAATAAAACGCATACGATGACAAAAGCTAAACTTAATCCAGAAACAACTAAACCAGCTTGCAAAATTTCCAACTCTAGCCGAAACACAACAGATTAGGGTTGTTTTCCTCAACAGTTTGCTATTTCTGATATATTTCTACACGAAAATCAATGACAATAAGAGCAGGGAGAAGGAGAAAGCAAGATAAATCTTACAGATATGACTTTGGGGTAAGGAGGATTGGCATCCTGGCCGTCGATCAAAGCTTCGGATGCCAGAAAAGGAATCGCGATCAGAACCAAACAAAGAGCTGCGAAGCTAACCGATCGAATCCTCGTCGGAACCATGCGGCCGGAGAAGTTACACGCTACGGAATTCCAGAACGCAGGGGACGAGAGCTAGCGAGAGAGAGAGAGAGAGATCGTAAAGAGAAATGAGAAATATCTTGGCAGAATTTCGTCGACCACCAACCGAACAAAATATTTATTTAAAAAACTTACCCGTCTAGATCTGAGCGGTTGACGACCTCCATCGCAGGTGAGACGGAGACAGAGGTGAGAAAGAGGCAGAGCTGTGAGACACGAATAGAAGAACACTAAAGCATCCACATTAGTTGGGAAGAATATGGGGATAATGTAAGAGTGATTAGGAGAGAGAATGTGGGGAAGGGAGAAAAAAAAATAAAAAAACTAAAATTAAAAAACAAACGAAAAAAAAAAATAAAAAAAAGAACCTGTCAGGCGCGCCTGACGCGCCCGTGTGGGCGAACGCGCACAGCAGCTCCTCTTTTCTTTTCTTTCTCTTTCTTCTTTTTCTGCATTCTTCCCAATTTTGCAGGATAAATATCTCCACAATTATTCCCACCCCACATTTGTTATTATCCCTATTGAGAAGAATTAATACTGAAATCTTCCCCTAATATGCATAAGTGTGGATGCTCTAAGGTGTGAGGTGTTTTTTGAGGTGTGTTTTTGCTAAGGTTTTGCTAAGTGTCAGTGGCGTGAGGGTCTCAAGTTTTTTGTTTGGGGGAAACTTAATTTTTTTTAGAGGGAAATATTTTTGCTAAATGTTAGAGAGGGAAGTAAAAAAAAAAAAAAAATTCATTTTTGGTCTTACTCTTATAGGGTCCTTTTCAATTTTAGTTCACCATAATTATTTTTGTCACATTACGCCTATTGTTAATAAAAAAAAAAAACATTTCAATTTTAGTTCACTGTTAGGATTTCTGTCAATTGACTGTGTAATTCAGGGGTATTTCCGCCAATGGAGAACGAGGCGGTGAAAAACTGGAGAAGGAGGACGCGACAGTGGCGATAGAAGAAGCCCTAATTTTGCTAAGTATTTGGAGACTATTACATAATAGAGATGATGGAAGCGGAAAAATTTTTGCTAAGTATTTGGTGTGACTTAGATTTTAGTGAAATAATTTTCAGACTTCAATAGCGAGGGTAACAACATCTTTTGTACCAATAGCAAGAGTATATTTTTAAAATAAGTATAAATGAAAATTTCGTCACTAAATCAAAAACCTTTAGCTAGAGTAATTTTTAACCCTCACAAAAGCTATGCAAATAATACATTTAGTGAGGGGTTATTCTACACGTCACTAATTTTTGTCACTAAATGTTGTTTTTCTTGTTGTGCGACTTCGACGGAGGGACTGCACTATCGCGCTGTTTTCTTCTTCTCGAAGAAATTTTGTTTTTGTTTTGTCTTCCTTAAGTGTTAACGAAAATAATTGAGATGGAATTTATTTTTTGAGAGGGAAGGAGATTATTTTTTTACAAAGTGTGCGAGGGATTTTTTATTTTATTTTATTTTATTTTTGGAGAGGGAAGGGGATTTTTGCAAAGTGTGATAGTCTTGAAAGTCTAATTTTAAAGAAGAGTGAATTTCATTTTTTATCTTAACAGTCTATTTGTAATCCTTTTTTTATCAAAATATACAATTTTGGTCCTAGTATTATTTCGACATAATTAATTTTGGTCCTCTATCAATAAAATCGTTAAAATTAAATTAAATTGAATGACATTTTGATATTTTTAATACAAAGTGCGTTGACCAGTTATATTTTTTTATGTTTATTTTTATGAAAAAAATCATAATTGAAGAGCGAAATGTCTTGTATTTAACAAAATTTCAACAATTATATTTTATAAAGGACCAAAATTAGTAAATAAAAGTTGGTGTGGCTTGGTGGGTTTAGTTTTATTTGTTATGTTAGAGGTCTTGGGTTCTATCATTCTTGGTGGCATCTTTAACCTATATTTTATATAATCATTGTCTTGGTTCTCAGAGACAACACATAACCAAACTCGTTATATCTTAGATGTTGCGCTTAAATAAATAAGTGTTGTTGTAGTTTGGTGGGTTTAGCTTAGTTTGTTATGTTAGAAGTCTCGGGTTCTATCTTTTCTTCTATCTTTCTTAGACTAGAAGCATCCTTAATTATTCTATAAAATCATTGTTTTGGTTTTCACAAACAACCCAGTTATATATACCAGATGTTGCACTTTAATACATAAGAGTTTGTGTTGCTTAGTTGATTAAACCTTAATTGCTATGTTTGAGGTTAAAAGTTTGATTCTTGTTGTTAACATCTTTGTTTTTATTTTATACTACTGTTGTCTTTTATAAAATAATGATGCGCAAAGACAACAGTTTTTTCATAACCGTTGTCTTTGTAGTGTTGTGTACTCAAATACGCTTAAAGACAACATACCAAAGACAACGGTTAAATAAACTCGTTGTCTTAAACAAATAAAGAACGCGCAATGACAACAGTTATATAAAACCGTTGTCGTTGTAGTGTTGTGTATTCAAGTGCTATTAAAGACAACACATAAATGACAACGGTTAAATAAAATCGTTGTCTTTTATAAAATAATAATGCACAAAGACAACGGTTTTAAAAAACCGTTGTCTTTGTAGTGTTGTGTATTCTAGTGCGCTTAAAGACAACATACCAACGACAACGGTTAAATAAAACCGTTGTCTTTTTTAAAAAAAAGAGCGCATAAAGACAACGGTTTTAAACAACCGTTGTCTTTCTAGTGTTGTGTATTCTAGTGCGCTTAAAGACAACACACCAACGACAGCGGTTAAAAAAATTGTTGTCTTTCTTTAAAAAAAACACACATAGACAAAAAACCGTTGTCGTTGTAGTGTTGTCTTTTCACAAAATGCACAAAGACAACACACTTATAACAACGGTTAAGTAAAAATCGTTGTCTTTGACAAAAGTGTTGCATCAAAGACAACGGTTTTGGACCAAACTGTTGTCTTTTATATAAAAGACAACACTTTTCTTAAAAACTGTTGTCTTTCTAGTGTTGTCTATGTGCATTTTTCTTGTAGTGCATAAAATTGTGCTATTGTTAAACCTTGCTGTTGATGACCTTAATTATCATGATGTCTATAGCAAACTTTTACTATGATGAACTCTCTTGTAGCTTAACCGTTAACGAACATTTCAGTAATAAAAACATATTGTCTAAGCCTACAAAATGAAAAAAAATAATAATAATAATTTAGGGTCTAAATACTAATCTTATTTTACACTTTGGATCATCAAAATCCATTTACACATATTTCTGACGGTAACTTAGGTAAATAGCGTCAATATTAAATATCTTATGCGGCCGCTACTTAATATATAATAATATATACGGTGGTATTTAAAACACAATATATAATACTTAAAATAAAATTAATAACTATATATATATATATATATATATATATATATATATATATATATATAAAAGAATATCTATATACGGAGTTCCCTATTGAGTATTTATGATAAATAAATAAATAACTAAGTATATCACTCTAGTTCAAGCTAGGAATCGTGATATATAGTATATAATAAAAATAATAACTTTATTACTGTAATTGGACTTAGATGGTATGAACTTAACTTTTTTAGTTTTACAAATTACTTAAATTTTTTATTTTTTATTTTTAGTATTGATTAATATTATTATCAGTTTAAAGGAACCATCCAGCAGTCCTGTTGAGCAATATAAAGGTTTATAATTTGTTTCAATTTCTATCATCAACGCTAAGTCGCTAAAACACCATGTCCAACCTGTACTTCGACTTCATCGTTCCCATACGAAAGCGCACGAAGAGTGCACGATCAATTAAAATTTTTAAATACAAAATGAAATGAATTCGGAAAATGAAATTAAAGTAATTTTGAGTAAGCATTGCGTGACAACGGTATTTTGTGCTGTTTGAGCAATTAAAATTTATTGTAACTTTTTTTAAAAGTCGTGCTTTGTGAGTCATTATCATGTGACAACAGTATTTTTGTGTTGCCTGAGTTGCCTTTGCATACCGACTATCTGAGTAATTAACGTTTATAGTAACGTTTTCTTAAAAGTCGTGCTTTGTGAATCACCATTATGTGTCAACCGTATTTTGTGATGTTTGAGTTGTCTTTTAATCGTATTCTTGTGTTGCCTGAGTTGCCTTTGCATACCGACTGTCTGAGTAATTAAAGTTTATATTAACGTTTTCTTAAAAGTCGTGCTTTGTGAGTCACCACTACGTGTCAATTGTATTTTGTGATATCTGAGTTGTCTTTTAACGTTATCCTAAAACTTGTGTTGTATGAGTCGCCTTTACGTGGCAATCATATTTTTGTGTTGCCTGAGTTGTCTTTGCATACCGACTATTTGAGTACATAAAATTTATAGTAAGGTTTTCTTAAAAGTCGTGCTTTGTGAGTCACTATTACGTGTCAACCGTATTTTGTGATGTCTGAGTTGTCTTTTAACGCTATCCTAAAACTTGTGTTGTATGAGTCGCCTTTACATGACAATCGTATTTTGGTGTTGCCTAAGTTGCCTTTGCATACCGACTATGTGAGTAATTTAAGTTTATAGTAACGTTTTCTTAAAAGTCGTGCTTTGTGAGTCATCATTACGTGACAACCGTATTCTGTGTTGTCTGAGTTGTCTTTTAACGTTATTTTAAAACTTGTGCTGTGTAAGTGGCCTTTACGTGACAATCGAATATTTGTGTTGTCTGAGTTGCCTTTGCATACCGGCTGTCTTCACTCCGTGCCATGGTTGAATATTTAATGCTCTAAAGCTGACCCTCTCCCCTTTTAACCTCAACTGCAATAAGTTTTCATAGTCAATGGTTACTTCAATATTAAGTCTAATAAGTGCATTTAAACTAACTATATGTCGAAATATAAACTAAAGTGAAATCCTAATTAACATAGACGTGGAATATATCTACAACCAAGGTAGGCTTCGTTACTTTACCAATTCTAAACATATATATAAGAGTTAAACTTCATAAAACTCAAATAAAATGACTAAAAATTAAACAAAGACGTAAAATTGCATACTCTATAAGAAAAGAAAACAATTTATAATATTATATTATTATAACATAATGCCATCTTAGCGAACATCTTTGGCAAAATGGAGGTGGCTTGTTCTAGTCGTTCTATCTAGTTTGATGCATATACCCCAAGTGGATATTGTTTTGGTGATTGGGGCGGAGCCACCTGCATGATGCAGGGCCCCCTCCCCCCGCCCCTACCCTTTTTTTTTTTTAAATAGTATGA